AAATGCTACTACGTGCACATAGTTGGCACGGGCAATTCTTGATGTGCCAACGGGCAATCCTTGATGGAGGTTCACGTTGCTTAAAAATAAGACGAATGATTGCTTTTATTGTCCTTGTGGCCGGTGGTAACTATCTCTGTTCACACACAGAGGTCCTGGGTTCGATTCCCGACTAGTAAGGTATTGTTTGCATATCTATATTTTTTCTTTTTTTGTCAGTGGAAAAGATGATAACTTACATGTTTAAATCATTTACGCAGGGACTTTTTGACATATATGCTGTACTAGTGGGCCAAATGGCCCACTTGCCCTTGCATTTGGCCCACTAGTCACATTCTATTGGCCCACTGGTCAATTTTAAGCTTTGCAGTAAAAATATTGATTCTAGCAAGGTCTCCCATACAATTGAGAAGAAAATGGGAGCGATCAGCTGAGTAACTGATTGTGGCGGACTGGCGGTTAGAGGGATTGTTTATGCGCGTTGAGAGTAACGATCTGGAGGTAACGTTTTTGCTTTTTGCGATGTTTAATGTTAATTTTCACTTTACTGTTACTGCTTATATAGATGATGAATACCTGCGGATACCGAAGATAAGGTAGTGATTAGTAGTTTATTTAGTGATTAGTAGTTTATTGGTGTGAATTAATTTTCATGGTTGCAAATTTAAAGCCGCATTTGTATTTCCTTCAAATTAATAACGTTAACTAATCTCCAGAAAAATTGTCTTAAAATGGTGAGATATAAATAAAGAAGACCTCAAATTAGTGAAAATCCAATGGTGGCTGAAGCTGCATATGAACTAGTTTTTGGTTAGTTTAATACTAAAAGAATAAGAATAGCTAAGTAAAAAATAATAAATTAATAAAAGTAATAAAAATGTTGTCCCACAGGATTTTCATAGGTTTTATCCGTGTATAAGTGTATTCAGAATTTTTGGACCGGAAATTATGAGAAACAGCAATGCGAAAGTGTCCTATACCTTTGCCATTAACTTTTTCACTTATTTTTAATTGTGTAATATACTTTTTTTTGTCATTTTAGAACCAAAATGCCTAGTAGGGAAAGAAAACGCAAACGCCAAAGTAACGAGTTGGCTGAAAATGCTAAGAAAAACTACTCGATTACGAAATGGACCATGCCTGCTACTGCCTCTACCGGTACTACTATGCCTGCTACTGTCTCTACCAGTACTACTATGCCTGCTACTGTCTCTACCAGTACTATTATGCCTGCTACTGTCTCTACCAGTACTACTATGCCTGCTACTGTCTCTACCAGTACTACTATGCCTGCTACTGTCTCTACCAGTACTACTATGCCTGCTACTGTCTCTACCAGTACTACTATGCCTGCTACTGTCTCTACCAGTACTACTATGCCTGCTACTTCCTCTACCAGTACTACTATGTCTGCTACTGCCTCTACCAGTACTACTATGCCTGCTACTGCCTCTACCAGTACTACTATGCCTGCTACTGTCTCTACCAGTACTACTATGCCTGCTACTGCTCTACCAGTACTACTATGTCTGCCACTGCCTCTACCAGTACTACTATGCTGCCACTGTCTTTGCCAGTACTACTATGCCCCTATACTGTCCCTTACTACCGTACTTGCTTAAGCATACTGCTACTGCACTTCTCGCCCGGCTACTGCCTCTACTGTGCTACTATGCTCTACTATACCACTACTACCTACGCCCCCTGCAGCTCCCTATGCCCTACCTGCCTGCAGCACCTCCACCCCGGCTATGCCCCTGCCTCTACCAGTACTACTATGCCTGCTACTGTCTCTACCAGTACTACTATGCCTGCTACTGTCTCTACCAGTACTACTATGCCTGCTACTTCCTCTACCAGTACTACTATGCCTGCTACTGCCTCTACCAGTACTACTCTGCCTGCTACTGCCTCTACCAGTACTACTATGCCTGCTACTGCCTCTACCAGTACTACTATGCCTGCTACTGCCTCTACCAGTACTACTATGCCTGCTACTGTCTCTACTAGTACTACTATGCCTGCTACTGCCTCTACCAGTACTACTATGCCTGCTACTGCCTCTACCAGTACTACTATGTCTGCTACTGCCTCTACCATTGCTACTATGCCTGCTACTACCTCTACCAGTACTACTGTGCCTGCTACTGCCTCTACCATAACTACATTACCTGATACTGTCTCTACCAGACTAATGTCAGATACACACTCTGCTAGTAGTGCTACTGCTCCTGATAGTTGTTATGAATGGTATTACGGTATGATGCTTGATGTAGATTGGCTTGTTAGAAAAATTGGTAGTTTAAAGGAAATAATAGAAATAAATCCTTTATCTGTAGTGACTATGAGTACATTGCAACACGACATGCTAGATGTGGCCGAGTTCCAATTGCTTCTGGCATCGGGGTGGATTCAAAAAGTCGATTGAGAATGGTTGTTGATCTTTTGAACTCAGAAGCTCATAGATCGGTTGAAGAGCATATGAAGCTCGAAGAATCTTGGAATAAAGGCTCTACAATACATCCATGGATTAATTTCTTAAACAAACAATCACCACAGGTTACAAAATTTTTAATTCGACTGGCATTTGATGCACACTCGGACAGTATGCTGGAGACACCTACAACTTTTTCAAGGCCTGCAAGATCTCTCACTAACCTGAAAGCCAATAATTTAATTTCTGTTATTCGAGATCATGGGATGGATGCTACTGTTCCATCTTTTCAGCCATCTCCAGTTTAGTATGGGGAGATGCTTGACTGCATTTCAACCATTGAACAAAGCAAAACTAGTCAGAAATTAAATGATACAATAATGTATAGTGTACAAATTGATGGAAGTGTGTCCAAAACAATGGAAGACAACAAATTTGTCAGTTGTAGAATTCTTACACAGGATTTGGAGTTGAAGACATTATTTCTTGGTGTGTATGCGCCAAATGCCTGTGGAGCTACTGGTTTACTTGAATGTCTTCTTCGTATGTTTGAAAAGTTATATATTGACACATCAAAACTAGCTGCAGTAACTACTGATGGAGAGAGTGCCAACACTGGAAAGCGTGGTGGCCTTTGGCGTCTATTGTCAGAACACTTTCAGAGAAAGTTACTTACTTTCTGATGCTGTGCACACCGATCAAATTTGGCAATAGAGCAAGTAATTTCAAATGTCCCTGAGCTGAAAGTTTGGAAAGCAAATTTATTCAGTGTTGCAACATACTTCAGGACATCCAAAAATCGACTCAAGAAACTTGTGGATTTTTTCCATCTGCTAAAAGCTTTCTGCGTCATCATGAAGTACGGTTTGCACAACATTTTTGTCAGCTCATTGATGCAGTTATGTTCAGTCTTGAATCGTGCAAACAGGTTTGGAAATTCTTTGCTGAGATAGGAAACCGTACAGAGAAAGCTAAACCATGAAGATATATTTTCTGTTTGGGGAAGTGAGCAATTACAGTCAGCTGACAGCTGTTATGGGTGACATCATTGAAAAATTTCAAGTTATGCAACAGAAAATGCAAAGGAATGATCTCATCTTGCCTGATATCTTTACTTGTCGAGATGCTGCTATACGCAAGCTCACTTTGATGGGAGACAGACCCTTCCCAGGTAAAAGAGAAACAAACTAGGTCAAGCTAGAAGCACAAAAAGAATTTTCTGGTGGTGAAGGTGATCACTGTCCCAAGAGGACGACTACAAACACGTATGTTTCAACTGGCCGGCGTGATAAACAAGCTATTCGTCATGAAATTGTGGTGAGTGCAGAAAACTTTCTGTCCGAGCGCTTGGCTCTGGATCAAGAAGGAGTCCTGACACACATGAAAAATCTTCTTACCAGTAATACCTGTGAAGAAGTTGTCGCCAGTGGTACATATATTACTGCACAAATGTTTCCAGAAGAAACTGGTGACTTTGCAGAACAGGTCTTTGAAGCATGGAGTGAGAATTTTAGCATCTTGGAAACACCTCTTCCTCCAGGGAGTGATTCTGGTGCTTGTGCAGCAGCAAGAACTATGCAAAAGACCCTTGCAGCAACACTAACTCTGTCTCCACACAGTATGCAAACAGAGCGGATAGTTTCACATTACAACGCTATACATGATGACAGACGATCAAACATAAAAGAATCCACAATGAATGCACGCTTAATTGTGGCACTCAACGGTTGTGGCATAACAGAATGTGATCCACGATTTACAGTGGCAGAATTTCTGAAGAAGAAAGAACGCAGATATACTGTAGAGCGCCAAGAGAAGCCTATCAAACAAGAAAATTTGCTGTCAAATTCTTCACTGGTGGTTTATTTTAAGATAGTTATTTTCAATTATGAAATATCACATAACTGCCACATGCTTCTATCTTCTACATTCCACAAAATGTTATTTATTTATTTGCCCTTATATTTTCAAAAATTTTGTCAACGCTGAGCTACAGTATAGCAGTATGTTTGAAATATCTTATTTTTTTCAATAAATATTGTATGGTACTACTTTTATTTAATATACTGTAAATTACCATTTTTGCATCAACCGTACTGTGTTTCTTAAATTCCTTTGATTTTTATATAATTGTCTCCTATCTAACATCTTTCAATATAAATGTCAGATACAGTACTTGGAATCTGGACTTTTTGGATATGTATGCCCTTTTTTTAAAGTGGCCCACTAGTAAAAATTCCTTAAAAAAGTCCCTGCATTACAGTGTATTCCTGTCTTTGTTTCTTAGTTTGCAAATGATTTCCCCCCCCTAAGTAATGAATTGTTTGTCTATTTTCATGAGAGTAGTATAGTGTAACATTATGAACTGTGAACCGCATAATAAGATTTCTTATTTGTTCATTTATTCCCTCATTTAAATAAAACAGGAAATGAGTGGTACCAGGACAAGGACTGGATTTGTACGAGAAGCCCGGTATAGAGAAAACAGCAGAGATTACCATAATAGTTTTTTGAATAAATTTTGTTATTACTACTGTATGTTGATGCATTACAATTCATGTCTTACTTCTTCCCAGTTGGATGTAGGGAGAACATTGGTGGTAAAGTTGAGGGTTTGTGCTGTGGTTTCCAACATAAGGTAATCGGTGCCGGAGTATCGCGGTATTATAGTTCCAGCGTCATCTGTCTCCTCCACCACGTTCCAGTAAGGTGGGAACGGCAGTGCTGTGACGTTCACCTTCATCCCGTAGAAACTAAGGAAATTTTTAAATATTAATAAGATTCTAGTGAATTTGTGCAATATGCAATTGTAAAAACAGCAAAGATCAACATCATGCATTGAGATGATAATGATAGATTTGGCCCTCATCACCCAAAGGGATTATGTATGAGTCCAGCAGTAGAGTAGGAAACGTGCACTATGGTCCTTCTAAAGTTTTGTTTGCAGCTTTAAGTGCACTAATGACTAATCCAAGTGATGCCATCCTGACAATTCTGAGAGTTTTTCAAAATATGCTAATTTTGGCCTCCACTACTGAAATTTGAATTTTCTTCAATACCCCAGTAATTATTGATCATAGGACATGAACTATTTATACCCATGTTTTAAAGGCCAAACATTATGATGATGGAGTCTAGAAAGTGGTTAGGCGAATATTTTGCCTCTCATTAGTCTATGCAACCTCTACCATTCAGCAAACATGTCAACACTTTGTTGATAATGATGTTTTAAGTAAAGTTTTAGAATTTCTTCAGATTTTTTGATCTCCAGAAAAAAAAAAAAAAAATATATATATATATATATATATATATATATATATATATATATATATATATATATATATATATATATATATATATATATATATATATATATATATATATATATATATATATATATATATACAGTATATATATATTAGGGTGTGTCATAGGAGGGAAGATCAGCTCAAACTAATGGCCCATCACTTTTTTGGTAGATTTTAGTGTATATAAACAGAAAATAATTTCAGTTTCAATATTTTGCAACCTTTTGCTAGGTAAATTTTAGCGTGAAATTTATCGAAAATCTAACGTACGGCTGCATTAGTGCATTACAATTAAACAGTGAACATTGCTTTCTGACTTCATTCTTTAACAACCCAACTAACAATATTTTTTTCTGTTTCAGATTCTCATGCATTTATAAGTTGATAATATTTGCGATGGCTGCTTGTGTCAGGACGAGGAACCAAAAATCCAGCCATCTCAGTCACTATCTTGGGTCTGGGAGAGAGCTCCTGAAGTCGGAGTTGCCTACATTGAGAGATGCTTTGAGATACGGTGTTTTAATCAGGCAAATCAGTGAAAAGAACCAAAGAACTTACACAAACAAAGACATTGCCAGTGATATGACCAAAGCTGTCTTGGCACAGTACACGCTGGCTAACGCTCAATTCAAGCCTCCAGTCATAACAAGTCAGAAGAAGATTAGAGAGAGACTGCAGCCAGTTGGGGAAAAAGGCAAGAGATATCTCTCGGGAGAGTGAAAACTTGCAGTTAAGGACAGCTTTTGCCAAGCAACTGACCCAGTTATTTGACATAATTACTTGCAAGTGCCCAATTGTTCTCTGTCCTGAGTTTGGATGTGATCGTGACTGTAAATCCGAGGCCCACATCTCCTGTATTTGCAAGCGTGAACTGAAGATTCTGTGATCGAACTGGCATTTGTCAAAGCACAGAGAGAGAAGACTGGCAGTATAGGGGCTCTCATGATTTCTAGCCAAGATATTCCGGAGTCCAAGAGACAGGAGGCTGCCACAGAGAGACAGAAGAGGAGAAGAGTTGCCGAGGAAAAGAGACTTGAGAAGGCCCAGGGTGAGGTAAAAAAGGCCGATGATTGGAGTCAAGCTGATTCAGAGTTTAATGACTTCCCCATGGCTGATCCGAGTGCTGACCAGGAGAATGGTGACTTTGTCCCTAACCCAGAAAATAATGATCCCAAACCTTCCAGGCATAAGATTCGAAATAGGAAAGATATCCCGAGCATAGCTCTGGCCAGCATGCGACACCACACTGGTCTCAGAGAAACTGCAGAGATAGCAACAGCTGCCTGGATTGACGGTGGTTTGATAACACCTGATGATGTTCACCTGGTGATAGATCAAAACAAAGTAAGGAGAGCTCAGGAGAAAGTTGTCAGTAACCTAGAAGAGGAGTTTGATAAGGGGATAAGAGAAAATGGAATCAATTGTTTGTTCTTTGATGGGAGAAGGGATGACACTAAAGTGTTCATGAAAGTTGGAGATTCTGACAAGTTGTTCCCTGCCATGGTGAAGGAGGAACACTACTCCTGCTGCAGTGAACCAGGAGGGAAGTATTTGTGGCATTTCACTCCAGAGAAAGATGACATCAGGAAACCAGCTGAGATAGTGGCAGATAACATTGTGAACTGGCTCAGAGAGAGAACGTAGACCAGACCCTGCAGGCTAATGAGGACAGCACCAACACGAACACAGTGGGTGGCAGGTAAATATACAGCGGATAGAGCGGAAGATTGGGAGGAAGCTGGTCTGGATTGTTTGTGACCTCCACACCAACGAGTTGCCACTCAGACATCTGATCCAGGAGCTGGATGGCAAGACCTCTTTCAAACAACAGATGGTCTTGGTCCTTTGGCAAGATGCCGGACTCTGCCACTGAGTTAGAAAATAAATCCGAGCTTTGGAAAAAATCACAGTTGGCCCTCCACTCGTTGAGCTTGCACATACTGTCATTGACGAATCTGAGTACTGACCAGTACTCATGGTTACATGATTTGCAGTGCCATCAAAACTGGGGTCATGCCTGATAGACTTGCTTACCCGCAGATAGGTCCAGTCTCACATTCTAGGTGGCTCACAACGGCTCTCAGGTTCTGCAGAATTTGAGTCGCTCATCATAAACTGAAAGGGAACCAGCTTCACAACCTGAGACTTATTGTCCAACTCATCGTGAGTGTCTACTTGCCAAATTGGTTCAACACCAAGGTCAAGTCATCGTTCTCCGAAGGTCCGAGGCATGTTCTCTTCCAGCTTGAGCTCCGGAGGAGTCAGCCAAGGAAGGCTTGTTCAGATTGTGGAGCAGACTGTGAGGAGATCTTTCCTGGTGCTCATCCTGAGGCAGTTCTGCAGACAATGCTCTGCAGTAAGGATGAGGAGGAGAGAAGAGTGGCAGTCAAAAAGATCTTGGATATGAGACTTATGAGAGGATCTGGGCATGACGAACCAGTTGGTGACGATTCCTTCAGGGTCAGGAAGACTCCTGAAGTCAATCTAGGTGCCAAGACCCTCACTGATCTCATAGATCTGGATAACATCCAGGCTGGCAGTGAGCCCCTTCTTACCTGCAGCCTCACCAATGTTCCGTCAGAGCTTTCCTGACAACTCCCATGCATAAACCTCCTGCCTGGCCTCGCACACCCAGAGTATAGAGCGCCAGGTACAGCAAGTGAGCGAGGCCAGCAGTCACAGTGTACAGCCAGGAGAGGGGAGTGGGAAGGCTACATCCGAGCTCAGGTGGTCAGCAGGAGGTGATGAGAAACAGAAGCAAGAAAGACATGTTCTCTATGGTGTGCAGCAACACCGGTCGTAGTAGTAAAACCGGTTTTTGTATTTGATGATTTTGTTTTCTAAAGGAATATTAAATTTAATAAATGTGTCAAGATCATTCGTTTCACTATTCTGGATCATTTTCATCCTAATAAATTAACCTGATACATTTGCTTTACTTTAAATAAGCTATTTAGTGGTGTTGGTAAAAGGGTGGGAATACTGAATTTTCATAAGATTTCAAGTTAAAATTTACCTAGCAAAAAATGAAAACTTTTCAAATCTGAAGATATCACATGATTCTGCACATAGAACTACATCATTAATACCATGGGCCGATTTTTCAAACTCAAAAAACAAATATTCGCCTCCGTATGACACACCCTAATATATATATATATATATATATATGTATGTATATGTATATATAACTTCAGCAATGGACTTGTTACGTGGAAAGCGTAGTTTCATAACGAAGAGGAGAACCAGGGTAAACACAAACATCTTGACTAAGTTGGGTTTCTTTAATCACTAACGTTTCGGAAAAATCATTTTCCATCATCAGAGCTTAGAAAACAAAAAGTTTTGAAAAAGTTTTAAAAAATACAGGCGATATACAATAAAAACATAACATTATACTAAAATTTACCTTCCATAAAATTTAAAGAAAGAGCACTCCAATTTAAAACCGATAAAAAGTGACGAGAGACCTACGTACAAAGCATAAAATCAGGAATAAAACAGTGTGAAATAAAAATATACAGAGGGTATTGCCTTAATTTAGACGAGTCTTAGTGCGAAAAACACAACAATTCACAGGAAGCCATATCACAAATGGATGGCTTTACTTTATACTGATGCAAGGCTTCCATAATGAGGAGCTCCGTCTCACAGTTGCTCCTGCCAAGAACTGAGAAATCAGACGGCGAAAACGGGTGGTCATGTTGGTGGGCGTGGTTACGGATAGCTGAATGTGGTCATTGTGTGATTAACTGGCCTTTCCACGTAACAAGTCCATTGCTGAAGTTATATCCCATCGTTATGGACAACCAGTGCTCGCCTTGTACAGAGCAGTCGAACGACAAGACTACAAGTTGAGAAAGCTACAGTGTGATCTTCTGTTTCTGGATTCATGCTCTTCACAGAACTTGATCCCCAATTTCTTGAAATTTAAACTCAGTAACCGTAACCTGCAGCATTCTAAGTCCAACAGAAATTGCCAAAGACATCTACTTAGCAGTGAAATAAGGACAAAGAAACATAATGTTAACCTTACCCGTGACAAGCACGATAAACTATCTCGGGAATTAAAGTGTCAAATGTCTTATTTAGATTACAACCATTTACGGAATTTAGTAAATACTACAAATTATAAACTGACTTTTAGAATTGAACTCGTCAAGTACCACAAACTTAAAAAACCAGGTTATGTGTTCGACGGTAATCTATCCCCTGATAAGGTGATTTTCAACTACTAAGGATCTGTCTCTCTCTCTAGTAGAACAGTAAGCTTTATCTAAAGGTCTGAAATATGCTTTTAATCCCCGCAAATTAGACTTTTTAACCATTTTCTTGGTTTTGCGAGACTTTTTAAGAAATTGTCTCCTCTCAGTTTATATGATCCAGTATCAAAAGGTTTGCATCATTTCTTTAACTCTCTCCGCCACTTACCGTTTTGGTCCTATTATTCATACAACTCGTTCAGCACCAAACAAGCTCTTTCTAAGGAAGAATTTCTCGCACTTAAAAAGTTAGCATCCAACGACAATGTTATCATCACTAAACCAGACGAGGGTAATGGGGTTGTTGTACTCAATAAAACGTCCTACATTCAGAAAATGATGAATATACTGAACGACCGCACTAAATTTGCCCCCATTCTCGACGACTTATACAGGGTAAATCTTAAGTATGATGATAAGATTAACAGATTTCTTCGTAAACTTAAACACAAGAATATCATTAATGACTCCTTCTTATTAAAACTCTTTGTTAGCGGGTCTAAACCAGGTATCCTGTACGGTCTACCAAAGGTACACAAGGATGAATGTCCCTAACGCCCTATATTGTCTGTCCTCGGCACCTTCAACTATACTCTGTCTAAATTCCTCGTTCCCATATTGTCACCAATAACCAATAATCAATACTCTGCTAAAGACTCTTTTAGTTTTGTTAAGGAGCTAACTAGCATCTCATTCAACAACTGTGTTATGGCTAGCTTTGATATACAGTCTCTATTTACCAACATCCCTCTTGCCGAAACTATTGACATATGTACAGATGAACTGTTCTCAAACATTGACATAATTGATGGATTCAATTTAATTTAAAGAATTTTTAAGCCTGGCTGTAAAAGATTGTTTGTTTTTATTTAATTACAAAGCTTATAAACAATGTGATGGTGTTGCTATGGGTTCTCCTTTAGGTCCCACGTTGGCCAACGCTTTCCTCTGTCACCACAAGAAGCTTTGGCTAACCGAATGCCCCCCCCCCCAATTTAAGCCTTTGTTCTATCGTCGGTATGTTGATGACACTTTTTTTAATTTTCAGATTACTTGATCACGTCCCTATGTTCATACATTATTTAGATTCGAAACATGGCAACATCAAATTTACTTGTGAATTGGAAAAGGACAATATTCTTCCATTCCTTGATGCTAATATCCACCGTCTTCATAATAGTTTCGAGACAGCCTTATACAGAAAACCAAGTTTCACTGGTTTGAGTTCAATATTTTCATCTTTTATTCCTCTTAATTACAAACGTAATCTAGTACGTACTCTTACCAAAAAGAGCTCAAGCTATTTCCACTTGGACATTGAACTAAAATACATAAAGGAACTATTCTTTAACAATGGTTTCCCTAAGAGATTTACAGACACTTATATTGGCAAAACCCTTTATAGGATTTTTAGTCCCACACAGCCTCATCCACACCGTCAATAAATATTCTATCTATTTCACTATCCCGTACACAGGCCCACTCAGTTTCATCCTTAAAAACAAACTTGAGAAGCTTTTCAATGAATTCTATCCACCAATTTCTCTTAGACTAATCTTCAAAATCCAGAATTCAATTAAAAAATTCTTTAAAATTAAAGACACCATACCCACACACCTGCAATCCTCAGTTGTTTGTCAATTTACGTGTGCTAGCTGTAGGGCAGCATATATAGGTAAAACTAAAAGACATTTGATAACTCGCATCCATGAACAATTGGGCCGTTCCGTCAGAACGGGCCAGTTTATCACACAACCACCACATTCAGCTATCCGTAACCACGTACACCAACATGACCACCCGTTTTGGCAGGAGCAACTGTGAGACGGACCTCCTCATTATGGAAGCCTTGCATCAGTATAAAGTAAAGCCATCCATTTGTGATATGGCTTCCTGTGAATTGTTGTGTTTTTCGCACTAAGACTCGTCTAAATTAAGGTAATACCCCCTGTATATATTTATTTCACACTTTTTTATTCCTGATTTTATGCTTTGTACCTACTGTAGGTCTCTCGTCATTTTTTGTCGGTTTTAAATTGGAGTGCTCTTTCTTTAAATTTTACGGAAGGTAAATTTTCGTATAGTGTTATGTTTTTATTGTATATCACCTGTATTTAAAAAAAAATAAAAACTTTTTGTTTTCTAAGCTCTGATGATGGAAAATGATTTTTCCGAAACGTTAGTGATTAAAGAAAACCAACTTAGTCAAGATGTTTGTGTTTACCCTGGTTCTCCTATTCGTTATATATATATATATATATATATATATATATATATATATATATATATATATATATATATATATATATATATATATATATATATATATATATATAACAAAGAAGTATGTCTGTTTGTTTGTGTGTGTGTTTTTGTTTGTGTGTCTGCACGAGAATCTCGGAAACTACTTTACCGATCCGTAGTGATGATGGATGGTGTTATATGTAGTGATGATGGATGGTATTATATGTAGTGATGATGGATGATGTTATGTGTAGTGATGATGGATGTTGTTATATGTAGTGATGGTGGATGATGTTATATGTAGTGATGATGGGTGGTGTTATATGTAGTGATGATTAGACAATAAAATAATAACAGTTTAATGCTAAAAAAATATAATTTGCTGTACCGTTGTAGTGAAAAACACGGTGGAACTTACATACACCGTTAATGAACTATTGATGTAAGAAGAAGTTTTGGGGACTGAACAGTGAGACAATGTGGAGCCTCCCGGAGGGTGGCGTCCTACCGTTGCCTTGCCGATGACGGGCGGCGATTCTGCTAGTATATATACAGTATATACACACACAGGAATCAGTAAAAGGCTAAAACGTTAACTCACTTGGAAAACTTTTCAGAGAACAGTGGCAAATTCGTAATGAAAGTAACACCTTGCTCTTGTGTCCAGGTGGCAATGCGAAGCACCTGAGCTCCTTGTAGGCTGTAAGGTAAATGGGCATAAAGACCGCCTCTGGAAGATAAGTGATCAATGAGTCGGATAACTTTATTACACAATTAAAAACCGAAATTTCTATTTTCAAAACAATTTAGTAGTCTCTATACACAAAAACCTTCATTTTGTGTGAAAATGAAGCAGGATACATGCGAAAAAAATCTTGAAATGGTTTTAAAAAATCATTTGTTATTATATGCTGCAAAATTTAAGAAAAAATATGAAGTTCAATTATAATAATGTCTATTAATAAAAACTAGATCATGCATAGTAATGTGGATACTGCAGTATATTAAAATGAACATCTTAATACAACATGAAGCATTAATCAGTTTTACCGGCATTAGTAAATGAGATGGATCGGACCCCCACCAAATAGGGTAATAACAGTCCTGAAACTTGAGAAGTGAGGTTTAAGATGTACAGCCTCTCACACTTCCACCTGAGACAGTCAGCATTGTCAATGATCAGGGACAAAAATTCCCTCCCAATAGTGAAACGGAGTCATGGAAATAAGTCTCCAAATTTACTTACCCTGACTGTTTCATCTCATTTGAGGTAGATGCTGCTTCATTTTGGATGGGAATGAACCTTTGACCCAGATTGAACTTATAGAAAGAAGTTGTGAAAGCTGTAATGTTGTTGACATTCTGGAGCTCTTTCTCTCCGAGGAAAATACAGGGTGTGGATGTGAGACCAGGATTAAGTGATTATAATCTTCCTTCATCAATTGTGTATTCCATATTTTAGTACACCTTTTCACATATCCGTTGAGACATTGTTACATAACTATTTGACAAATTTCATAACCGAATGACAGAACACATATCGAATGACAATCTAAAATAACTGTTCGTTCATGCTAACGGAAATGATTGACATAAGTTATGAAATTGACAGACGTGAACAATAAACCGACAGGTTACATACAGTACAGTTTGAAAATGTAACAATTGGAGAATGACGTACCATCAACAGTTATTTTAGATTGTCATTCGATATGTGTTCTGTCATTCGGTTATGAAATTTGTCAAATAGTTATGTAATAATGTCTCAACGGATATGTGAAAAGGTGTATTAATTTCTTCACCAACATTAGGGGTGAGTATTAGGTGATACTTTTGTGAACAGAGGGAGAGCCATATTATGGAATTAAGATAGATTATTAAATCAGATGGGTCACAAAAAGTGTTAATTGTTATAAGCTGGTATTACTTTGAGTCCTGGTTACATAATTTAATGAATAGTTTCTTTGAATATATTCTCACAGTGTAATTATATTAAATGTAATCTACATCTGTCAGCTGGAAGTAGCAAAGACTCTGGTCTGTTAACCAAAGCTGTTACTTCAGTATGTAAGTCTGATTAATGGGTCAAGGAGTGTTTCAACCAGATTAAAATTATTTACGAGAAACTTAACTAGTTCCAGTCAGGTGAAATCTTCCGATGGCTACCTAAGGTCATCAGACAAATGTTAATAATATAAAACTACTATTTTTTTTTGTACAAGTGAATCGTGGATTATATAAAATACACAGAATTCCATGAAATACCCCTGACGACAAATGCATTCAACAATGAATTCATACATAAGCCAAGCATCTGGTGGTCAGTTGAAAAGATAATATTTACAATTATTAATCTTACGTGGAAATATCTATCTATCTATCTATCTATCTATCTATCTATCTATATATATATATATATATATATATATATATATATATATATATATATATATATATATATATATATATATATATATATATATATATATATATATATATATATATATACATATATATATTTCATGTAGATCCACAATGAAAACGTGGATAAATAAATCTTGATAAAATCACAGGAAAAGGGAAACAACGGAGTCTGAAGATGTCTTGAATAAAGACGAAAGCTAAGGTGCTCCGTTGTTTCCTTTTCCCGTGTGATTTTATCAAGATATATATATATATATATATATATATATATATATATATATATATATATATATATATATATATATATATATATATATATATATATATATATATATATATATATATATAAAACAAAGTAGTAAGTCTGTTTGTTTGTGTGTTTGTGTGTCCGCACGAGAATCTCGAAAACTACTTTACCGATCTGTAGTGATGATGGATGGTGTTATATGTAGCGATGATGGATGGTGTTAAATGTAGTGATGATGGATGGTGTTATATGTAGTGATGATGGGTGGTGTTATATGTAGTGATGATTAGACAATAAAATAATAACAGTGTAATGCTAAAAAATATACTTTGCTGTACCGTTGTAGTGAAAAACATGGTGGAATATACATACACGGTTAATGAACTATTGATGGAAGAAGAAGTTTTGGGGACTGAACAGTGAGACAATGTGGAGCCTCCGGGAGGGCGGCGATTCTGCTAGTATGTATATATATATATATATATATATATATATATATATATATATATATCATATCATGTAGATCCACAATGAAAACGTGGATAAGATAAATCTTGATAAAATCACACAGGAAAAAGGGAAATAATGGAGCACCTTCAATTGCCTCCGAAGATGTCTTGAATAAAGACGAAAGCTGAGGTGCTCCATTGTTTCCCTTTTTCCTGTGTGATTTTATTAAGATTGATCTTATCTACATGATATATATATATATATATATATATATATATATATATATATATATATATATATATATTTATTTATATATATATATATATATATATATATATATATATATATATATATATATATATATATATATAATGCTTTACACAATTTTATTCATCCGCACCATCACCATTCCGCTGAATGACATAAAGCAAACAATTTCCCATTTGAGCCTTGTAGCTAGTGTAGAAGAAATTACCTTGTTAGACCATTAACTTCCTCAAAATTCATAAACAAAGTATTCATCATGGTAAAAGTCCAGTGTGAGCTGAGAAGACGTCGTAAATCTGGGAGAGGAAGCTGGGTGACAATGAGCAGCCTAGTAGCCCACACAAAGAGACGTTGTTTGAGAGACATCTCCCCAAAAGCAGCGAGGAAGTTTGGATCTTCACTGATCGTCACCACTGTCACATTCCGAGCCATCTGCCTCAGCTGAAATTATAATTGAACTCATAAGATAAGTAAATGTGGTGTCAGTGACCTTTGGTTCATAAGTGTCTTCATCTTCATGTTTCTCTTAACTGTAATCCCATGTCAGTGACTCAACTCAGATCGTTAAACCTAGAAGTTATGGCTACTTATAGTTAGAGTTACTTATTTATGTGAAGATGCTTTAAGAATGCAAGGAGCTTGTTGAAACACAACTGAATGTTTGTCCTTTATTTGGTGGAGCACTTTGGATATAATATACACAAAGGAATATATTTACAGCGCTGTAGTTTAGAGCTCGCTTATGTCGAAGGGTCGAACAATATATATTTTGGACAACCTTAGGCATTGTTATTAAACTCCACTAACTTTAATGTTGTACTCCAGTCGATGGTTCTTTGTTAACTGATATAGTCCCATCATTGTTAAGCTCTGATAAAAGAAAGTTTTTGACTGGTTTCGTTCCATAGTAATTAATTAGTTATCTACGAATGCGTGCTTAGTGATTCCATTAATGTATGAAACAAAATATTCCTTTGATATAAAATACACTAGACTATGATTATATAAGATTAATTCTAAATTCAGAACAATAAGAATTCTGAGTTTGATGAATTCGATTTTGTGAAAAGACCTGACACAGGTTTACTACAGTGAGTGAGTAACTAAATTTTCAGTGGAAGTTCATAGCCAGGGTTTTTTTAATTGAGTACAGGAGCTCAAAGTTTAACCATCAAATTTGAGATAAAGTGATTTAGAAATCAGTAGAGGAGGACAGTTTCCCAAGTTTCATATTAGAACAAAACTTATCAAGAGCTCCCAGTCAAGTATCACTAGGAGTAAAAATATCTGATGGAAGTAACTGTGTGGATAACATATCAGTTAACTCTAATAAATCAAATGAGTCTGGCATGGGATACCATCACGAAAGCAGTGGAGTGCATTGTCTCTGAACCATATATTGTGTTTGAGCTTGACTCAAGCATATTCTACTCCGTAATTGGTGTTACTTATTTTGTTTCATAACTCATGTGGTCGCTGCTTTACGTGGGTGAAATATTTGTACACTTCCTTTATTAATTATTTCCTTATTTATTGGTGCCATTTTTGTTCATACTCATTCTTTACTTATATAATCCTACCATTTTTAGTGCTAAATTGATATGACTCACTATTTTTCTCATTCTTCCAAGTTGGGTAGTGCTTGTCAAAGGAGGCGTGTTCTTGCTTTCAGGAAGTACACTTCAACTTGCTAGCTTGAGTGTGAATGTTTACCTGTGTGCATGTTTGTGTATGACTGTATGTGTGCTTTATGTGTGAGTGCATGGGCGCGTTATGTATGTGAATGTGTGTGTGTGTTTGCCATTCTAACTCTTGTCCTATTTATCTGTCCTTCTTTATCATTCTTTAGTCTTTATCACTTGTCTGTTTGTCTGTTCTGGGAGAAAAATGAAGGAGGCCACGAGGATGTTGAAAATTCCTCAAGGGGAGAATGGAGTGAAAAAGGTTGAGAATCACTGGCTTAGAGGGTCACGATGATGATGAAAAGAATGATGATCTGGATGATGGCTGCCCGTGAGTTGAGTTCTGTGGTGAAGCAGGAGCGCAGGCTGCAGTCACACATCTTGCCGCTCCCTTTTCCTGATTCAGTGGTACAGTTAGCTGCATTAATTGGGGAGTGGGAGAGTTGCAATTGACTGCCAATAGCCCAGTTTGTTGGGTTTCGCCTCGGTAGCCTGTCCATTTTGTATTGCCTTCATCCACCGGTGTCGTCGTTGGGTTCTTTTGTTGGTCAACTCTTCCGCCTATTCTACCGTTGGGATCTTGCTGGAGCCCTGTAAGCATGTCTGCCTGATGCAGTGCTCCACCGCAGATTTCTCGTTCTGGGTTTACTCCCATAGCCTTATACAGCGAGGCATTGTTTGGGAGGCGTCAGGGTGTGTCCACATGCCAGTGGGCCTATGCGCCGTCCCATATGGGGCCTACTGCTGCTCCAAGATCCCCTGATGACCTAGTCTGGGGCCTTGAGGCACATTAGGAATGTTGATGGTGGAGAGGTTGTGCACTGGCAGGGGAAGACATTCACAAGGCTGCTACCCTGTTCACCAGGAGGGGTAGCCAGCAGAGGTAGCTGAAAGCGAGAGGAAGTAAGCAGTGCCTGCACTTAGACTCACATAATTCTGCCACACTACTGTAGATGCATTACACCATCCTGTGCACACACACACACACACACACACACACACACACACACACACGCACACACACACACAAGTAAAATGTCATCACAAGATTGTTACTTTAATTTAGCTTTTAGCATAGTATACCAAGGTATAGGATATTAATATTTTCATAACTAATAGTAGGATTGAGTATGGAGATGTGCATGAAATAAGGGTTTTCTTTGAAATTGGTGTATAGTTACACTGTTTGAGCCCTGTGCGAACGCTGGTTTCTATGATCGCCAGTTCACACATTCCTTCTGCAGCAGGAACAAATGTGAATGCACAGGCTGGACATTCGTGTAACTGTAAGTGTAGGTATGACGATTTACACTGTAATAAAACCCTAGGATCATCCACTGCTAACAAAGAGTTGTCTTCATCAATTAGCAAAATTTCGGTTGGTTTATCCAGAGTAAACAGTGTGTCATTAGAATACAAGGGGGAGGGTACTAAAGGCCATGCATTAAATTTGCGTTGCCCTAGCATAGGAATGTGGATGAGGATAGCATTGTGCGTGAGAGTTGACTCTAACAGAGGGTAATAGTATTTGACCTCATGTTCTGTGAAAATAGGACTTAAGTAGTAACTCGTTTTGGCTATTTGTAAAGCTTCAAGGAGAATTTACACTGACACAAGCTGTGAATCCACACATCCTAACCCTGCATCTACAATACTTGCAATTAATTCGTTTTTGCTATTAAATAAAGCTTTAGCTGAAATTTCCGCAACATGCAAATAATCGGAAAACGAAATGAGCCATTCCAATGTAGGCACTGAATTCATTAAACCATAAACGATTTTAGACAAGTGATTCGACTCAGAAATAATCATGTTAAAAGTGTTAACCTTTGATTCCAAAGGATTGATTGGATGTAAAGTTTGGGTTATAGTGCGATTTTGTTTAAGTACAGCTTGATTAAAAATGTTCATACGGTCTCCTAATTTAGCTACATCTTCGGCAGTCGCTGTGCCAAACAGAATGCTTTGTATAAGACCACAAAATTTAACAATCTTCGCTTTCTTCGCGTTTGAGAACGCACTTCTTTTCAAGATCATCTTGAGATGATGGAATAGAGCGTCCAGCTGTGATGATATTCTTGTGAAGAGTCTTGAGACGAATTAGCTGAAGATTTACAGTTTGTGATATCTTTGTAGAAATGTTAGGATTTTTATGGAGATCATCAAGGACACCCATAGCTGCCTGGAGTTGAGCATCAATAGACTCCATCTGGCTCGGAAGCTTGTGAGGTCCATGCAGCTCATACTTTATATTCACCTCGTCTTCTACTATGAGAACTCGTCCCAGAAGTGCAGCAAGCGCACCTGGTTTGTGGACCTTCGTGGACGTATCCGTCACCTCGGTGGTGCCACAAAGGAGTAGAAGCATTAAGACGATGATCCAAGCCATACTGTAAGGGGTTGATGCATCTTAATATTGTTTTTCAGAACGTAGTTTTAAACAATAAGTATTGGGTACACTGGGTATACTTAAGTGAACAGAGGTGTCTTGGACATCATTTACTTTCCTGGGGAATAAATCTGGGTGGCCCCTTTTAAGTCTGTCTGCATGCACAACATCTGAAGTTTGTGAATTTGGCGTAATTTTTTTTTTCATTTGTTGGCCGGATAAATTAAACTTTAATTCTTATTTGAAAGAGTCACATTTTTTTTAAACATAGAGGATAACCTGCCTTTCTATTTTTCACGGGTATTTGCTATACTATTGTGTTAATATTGGCAGTGATATTTCTGTTTTGTTATTATAGGTCAATATCTTCTAAGTTTGCCATTGTACATAATATACTCTCCGGTAAGGCACTTCAGACTAGGGCTCCAATAACTGCTGAACCTCAGGTTGCAGTTTCTCCAGTTTAGTGTCTACACACATATGTTTGTAACATGGGTAGGTATACGTATAGGATTTTTTCTGTCATCAGAAAAAACCAAGGCATGTGTCACGCCCGAGATGGCCTGCTTGAGGTAAATTGTGGTACAACGTTAATACCATTGCACGAAGTGTATCAGGTACAACAATTTGCGTGACAATACCCTGAGCTGTCCGTTTGGAGTAATGGAATATGTCCTTTCGTAACTCAGATTGACTGAACGGAACAGGTAACTTTGGTAGATTAGCCTCCTCCCCGACTCTACAGCAAAAATGACTGAAGACCACAAGGGATCAAGTCGTTCTTCATCCCGTAATTGCGAGGGAGTGAACGAAGATACAAACGTCACTGGTGCTATGTTTCTGGACCAAGCGTCGGTGACCACGGTCGCTCGTCCCGGTAAGTACTTGAACACGGGGGCGTGCTAGTCTGCCTGAGAGATATTTTCGTGGAACAGCTCTGTCACTACCACAAGATCCGTAAGGACGGTTAATGGATAACCAAAAAGTAAATCCTTAAACTTCTTAAGTGCCCAGACAACAGTCAATATTTCCAGATGCATTACTGAATAGTATGTTTCTCAGTCAATAAGTGTACGACTGGCGTAAGCAATCACTCTATATTTCCCTCGTGTGTCCAGCTACATGAGTACAGCCGAGCTCTCGTCCTGAGGCGTCGGTACACAGAGTATATAGGTGAGTGAAGTCAGGAAATGACAAAACAGGTGCATTGGGAAGTACCGTCGTCAGTGTAATAAAACTGGTCTTCTGTTTATTATTCCAGACAAATATGGCGTCCTTCTTGAGTAATTAAGTCAGCGGCGATGTTAACAACGCATTTAATTTTATTAAAGAACAATAACATCCTGGCGAATCAAGAAAACTACGCACCT